GGGGCCTTCGCCGGCATAGCCGGAGGAAGCGCGCCCAGATGGGCCCCCGTGCCCCGCCGGTGCGCCCGGGCTCGGTGGGCAAGGTGTCGCTGGTAGCTTTGAACCTGCCTCCGCCACCCGCGCCGTTCCTGGCCTGGCTCCGTTGTGTCAGTGCCGCGTTTTCTTAACCTGCCGGCTGCTCTCGGCAAGCTTTCCGTTCAGAAACTTACTTTTTGTCTGTATCTCTCTCTGTATTTTTAATTAGCGCTTGAGCCTTGAGAGACAAAATTCACCTGTCAAGTCGCAGATAATACAGTATCAACCTAAGAATTGAGTTTTGGCGTTTTAATGTTTGGAGTTTCGTCCACAGACGTCTTCAGATTGTGCTGTCATTCACAGAACAGCCAAAATATAGTGGATATTGAACCTGGCTTTGCAGCTACTCTGTAATCTGAGCAGTGACTGTAACATTAGCCATGAAAGTTGTATTTCTGTAGCAGCTGATTTATTAGTTAGCTGTTTGGAACCACTGAATTTGGTTCGGGGGCTGGTGGTTCGGAGTTTTTCCCCCCTCTTTAAGCAAATTTGCCAAGGAAATACCAGAGCTGGCTAAAGCTTTGAGAGGAGAAAAGAAGAAGGTTTACAGGGGAGCGATGGAGGAAGATCTGTTACTATATGCTGCTAGTTTCCATGTGGTTTTGTTTTAGCTACTTTAGATGCGCTTTTCTTGTATTCTCTGGCAGTAAAGCAGTAAAGCTTATCTAGCAAGTGGTTGCAGCCCCAGCAGGTGCCTGAGCCCCCAGATTTCCAAGTAGCCAACAGACTGCCTCTTTCTTTGGGCTGTGAGGCTACTGTACTTGAAACGTGTAAGCTGCTACAGAATGAAAGAGGTTGCATTTTCTCTTGTATGATACTGGCCTGTTAAGAGTGATTTGAACTGTTGATCATACCCATTACCCAATGGAAAGTTGAACAAAATTGTTGATGGCTTGAGAATATTTTGTTGAAGTATAGCATCTGTGCAGAAGTCTGGGTCAAATCTGAAAAGATTTCAAAACAAAAAATATTCCAGTATTCTGTTACGTAACTATGCTGTTCACATTTGATTTTGAGGTGTTAATATTTCAATGAAGTTTAAATAACAACTTCATAAGGTTAAGGCATTTGCTAGCTAGTGAGGGAAATCATGACATGCAGAGTCAGAAGGCAGTGACTACTTCCCTGTTCCCCAAAAGAATTCTATTTACAGCTAAATATAGTACAAACCAGTGGTTTATGTGTTCAAAATAATTGTTTTATCAGCTTCTGTACATGTTCAGATGTGGTGGAAGTTGGTTTAGTCTTGATAGAAAATAAGTCACCAGTTCTTGTTTGTGAACATGAAGAGGGCAAGTGTATCTATATAAAGTCTGTTCAGTGTTAGTGAAAATCTCCCCAGATTTTCTTGCATTATAAAAAAAAAAAGTCATTGTTTGTTAGTTTTTCTTTGCCACATTTGAGGTTGGCAGTTGAGGTAATTGATTCGTTGAGCACCAAACTACTGTTAACCTTGAAAATAATTTGTACTTTCTCAGATAAGCTAAATCATTGAGAAAAATTACCCTGGCCCAAAAAGCTGTCCTAGAAAATGGAAAGCTTAGAGAGAGAAATCTCAGCAACAGAAAAAGTCCTATGGCCATGACCATCTGTAGGAATTATTACTCAGTCATATGGTCATGTTTGAGCAGTACTTAGTATTTATAATCTTTGGTCCTGATATTTTACCTATCCAGTGAAGTCTTGTCCTGTCTGTAGTAATTGTCCATGCAAATCCTTTTACATTTCTAACCTTCTCACCTCCTCAGATCAGAGCTAATCAAGGAACTAACTGCATCTGTTTTGGTTAATAGAAATATTAGTAAATCCTTCATAAATAGCATTAGAATTAGTCAACACATTGATTAGATGAATGTGTGGAATTACAGGTTATTTTTACATTTCAGTATTTTTGTGTGAAAGTGACTTTGATACAGACTCAGTAAAAAAAAAGAAGAAAGGTGGTTTCAGTTTATTCCAGGATAGATGAAACTTGGAAAAGAGATAGTGAAGTTTTTTAGTCCTCAGTGAAACCGGCTATATGAACATTTTGCCTGGCTTTCTCTCAAGTCACATAATGATTCTTGGGAAACTGTTCATTTAGATGGGACAACAGAGCTGTCAATTGTAATTTATGCATACCTGGGATGGCCAATCTTCTCCATTATGACACTGGTTTAACCTCCCAGATTGCTTTTTTCACATTCATATAGAAGTACTTGAACTGGTTTGTCTGTGTTTTAAGTAGGGTAGATAAAGGTTTTCCACAAGTCTGAGAACCTGTTCAGCCTAAACTGAAATGTTTGCTCAGATGGTTGTAGGATGAGATGAAACTGCTCCTCCCTCTGCCAACTCATGACTTTTAACGAGTCTCTCAAGCCTTTTACCTTGCGTGCTTGCGATTCCTGTTCTGGTATCTTTAGGCTGCTTACCTGTGAATGTGTTTTCGTTTTTTCTTTAATATTTCACTAACACCCCATTTTTGGTGTTACAATCTAGCCTGGGTTGTAATTTTCAGGTTTTTTACCTCTTTGACAGCATCATCAAATGGGTTCCTGAATCATTTTTGTTCAGGATTTTAGAGAGCTTTTGCTTCCTACCACTTCAGCAGGTGACCATCATGGTATTTTGAGGCAGTCAGGGTAGCAGCAACTTGAGCAAAACTGAACTGGAGCCCAGCTGCTGACATCTCGAAGTTGGTATTTATACCTACTTTGGTTCAGTGTTTGGAGCCTACTGTAATTGCAGAACTATTACTTTACCAAAAATCTCCCAGCAGCCTCTTCTGAGACTATTCTAGACATTGTGGTATGGTTATCCAAGCTACATTGCAGCCAAAGCAGTTTGGAAGAATGTGACTGTGAGGTAAACCTGCAGTGATCCTGAAACTGTTTCACTGTATCTAATACAGATACACTTTTATGTTTAAAACTTATGACTGGTCCACATAGGAACACATGGATTTTTATTTTCTTTTGCTTTGTATGTAGTGTCAGGAGTGCTTTTAACTCAAGTATATCACTGAGTAATTTCTTAAAACATAGAAAGCTGTCAAACATGCATGTGGCAGTTACACTTTAATATGTCTATTGATGAAATCAGTGTGATGGCTAAAGGCTTTTGCTATGTAATCTGAGAAATTTTCTGTTTTAATATAGACTAAGATATGATACTGAAAAGATTGCTTAGCATTGGTATGTAAACAGCAGGATTCCTCAGAGGTCACAGCTGTCTGGTTATAAGTTGCAGAATGCTGTGGAGATGTCATGAACTTTCTTTTCCTTCATTATGATAAATATCTCTTTATTTTGACATGTGCTGCCTCCACCAAGCTGCATCTTGCCTTCTTTCTCTTCCAACACTCAAGGCCAAATATAGTTTCTGTGGTAGACATGTTAAAACTTTTATGATAAATGAGAATTTTGTAAACACTGTACAAGGCTCCTGTTTCAGTACCTCCCATTTTATAAGCACTCTGGCCATTTATGTGGTATAATCTTTTGACATTCGTCCATTTTGGCTGAAGAAAAATCTCAGTAGAGTGTATATCTGTCTTCTGTGTGGTGGCCTATCCCCAACTGAAAGGATTTGCCTGTATCGGTATGAAATACAGACACCATGTCAGCAAGTGCTGAAATAGATTTTGATTCCTCAAGAAGGCTGCTTGTAAATGCTTTGTAGGCACCCTTTTCAGAGGGGATCAAATCTGCTGGACTTTACGAGGAAAGCTGTTTTTTCACCTACTGTCTAGTTACCTTCTTTTTAGACTATGCTGTTCTTGATCCTTGTGCAATCTGTGGTTTTACTTATTCTTCTGCTTTCTTGTAGATGCCAAGATTGTAGGAGACTTGCTAAGCCTGTTTAAACTCTTCTTCAATCCTTGGTCATCGACCACAAAGTTGCAGGGTTTAATTTTCTTCTGATGATATCATCACATCAGCATCTCTTAGCTCTTGAACTAAACATCAAATTTCAGGAGTAGTTGATTGTGCTGGTGATGACAGCAGATCAAGAAGAGAGTTCAGTTTGAATATGTTGCTGTTCAGACAGAGGGGAAGAAAAAGTGCTTATCGGCAGTTGTGAAGCATGGATCAAGGTATCTGGCAGATCACAGTCCCTGTATCTGCTGTGACAGACCACTAGGTTGAGCAACCTTTTTTATTTTTGATGACCTCTCACCAAGATGGTAAAGAATTTGTTGCTTCACCTTTTTAGGGATAGTTTTCTAAGAGTGATATTTTGAGCATATCATTCACTATGTATGAAGGAGC